CGGCGTTGTAGAGGCTGCACTGCTCCAAGGTACTCCCATGTAGGATGTTCAAACAACTTGTCATAACAAATGGCGACAATGAAAGGCAGTTTCGAACAAATTCGGCTTGCTGCAGTCATCTCATTGCGCATTGGGAGCAAGTTAAGTCTCGTCCGAACACCCCTTCCGTCATGGTAATCTCGTACAACCTCCATCTCCTGTGCTTTAAAAAGCCGAAAGTGGGCGGATTTTCTCGCTTTCTTCATTACCAATGTTCTCCACTACATTAACACTTCCTCTTTTCAACTTAAAAAGGGTACTCTTAAAGGCACAGTTCACGATAATCAAATGGGCAAGAACGTCAATAGCTTTCCCGCCTCTCGATCGATCTCACATCATCACATCAGTCGAGTGTCGAGACAATACAGATTGCAAATATTCGTACTAGGACCACACACAATAGCTGGTCGCCGAGTGATGAGACGGTGTTTTTCTCCCATTGTTTTATCCTCTGTTATTCTTTTTGCTGCCGCGACCCCTTATTTAATTTCCTACTCCTAGAGGCTGGGAAAGGTGAGCTACTTTTGCTGTTACTAGGATTTTTTGTTTACCTATGCCTATAAGTGAATGAATTTTTGCTTACCATAGTCTGTTATTCGTACCAGGACCCACACAGTGAGATAGATTGTATAGCTCGTCCAAACGCCCCACTCCTCTTCATTTGTCTGGTCTCATTCTCGTCCAACCCCCTTTTTAACGGTTTTTGAAGCCTTTTTTCACTTTGGAAACACCGATTCACGCACTTTCCCCATATTCATCGCACTGTTTTCGACATTGTCTTCCATTTTTCATCATAATCTGGACTACCCAAAATTATCGTGAACTGTACCTTTAAATTATCGTGAACTTCGCCATTAAGTTCCTGTGCCATATCAACCAAGAATGTCATTAATCATAATCATATCGATTATCATCACAGGGTTGAAGTTTGTCCTATTAACATCCATTGTTACCCAACTCTTGTTTTCACTCCATCACAAATCGATGTTAATTTATCAATTGGTTGGAATTTCGATGAAGACACCTGTCCTGCTCTATGCTCTCTAACCAGGGAAGGATCCCAAGTCGAACTGGCCATTTGAAATGAGACCTACACTACTAGACGTGTTTTTGGATGCTGACTTCGAATCTGCTTTCCAAATTTGTCGAGCGTTTCTCTGAACGGAGTTATGAGG